GCTTTTTTTCTGAAGTGCCAAATCAAGCCAATTAAAAAAAAGCCCCAACCCCCCCCCCCCCAAAAAAAAAACAAAATTGAGCCCCCCCCCCCCCCCCAATTTGGGGCACTCCAAAGAGATTTACCTTGAGGTACTCATGCTGCGGCAGCTGGCCAGGGAGGTGGACCGTCTGATGGGTTCCCCACTGAGGCACCATCACAATACACCGGATCTCCTTCACCTGAGGGTTGTCTGGGGGACTCACCCCATAGAGGTACCCTGCAATCTGCGGGGAGAGAGAGGCAGGTTCACCCGGGGCAACTCGCAGGCGAGTGTCTTTGCAAAGAGAAGCTTGAAAGAGGGAGAGAAGCTGGGCTGGCCAAACTCGTGGGATGGTCCTAAGGGACAGAGCGGGACACTCTTGTAACGCCGCCAGGCGCCTGCTCTGTTGAAGAATGTGCAGCAAGTTCTTGAGTTGTTGTTCTGGCTTTGTTCTCCCTGAGCCAGCCTTTTGAAATACCCATTCTAGGACTTTCTTTTTTTGGAGGAAACTAGAAAACGTGGTACAAAAATAGCATTTTATGAAGAGCAAACTACAACAGCTAGAATTGAGCCCACAACCGGCATACCAAAAACACATGAGGGACAGAAATAGGGGATGGTCGGGGATGGTTCGGAGGAGGGAAACATGGTGGCAGCCAGTCGAGAACCCCTTGCCAAGAGCAGCTGGGCTGGCATTGTGAGGAGGGGCACCTGAGCTCGCAGGTCCGAAATGCAAATGAACTTCTTCAGGACGTTCTTGGGCAGGATGTAGGTGTAGCCGGTCTCTTTGATGTCATCCGAGGAGACGTAGATGTGGTTTGTGCGCAAGTGGAGGTTGGCAGCAGAGATGGCCCTGGAAGAGGAAGCGAAGGCTGTGACTGCGTGTGCCAAGACCGGGTCCTCCCCTGCCCTCCCTGCCAGCTCAGCCCAAACCCTCTGGGCCCCTGCTGCCCACCTGACACGCCACTCCGTCTTGGAGGAGAAGGTCTGCGTCTCGTAGTTGCTGGTGGTGGAGGTGATGATCTCATCGCCATGCTTGTTGACTGTCCGCGTCTGGGTGGCTGTCAGCTGGGACTGTTCCTTGGTCTGCTTCTCGATCTCAGCAATCTGCTGCCGCTGCTGGGAGGGAGCTGAGATCTCCATGCCAAGGATGATGTCCCGGATCTCCGACTGGGTCAAGGAAGCCACGTTCACGCTAGCAAAGAGTGGGCAGGAAAGGTGAGGGTGTGCAGACAGGAGCCTTTAAGACTTCAGGGGCTGGAAGTGCTGTACAGATTCTTCTGTCCCCGACCTGCCAGGCAGAGCAGGAACCTCATCCATTTAACTCTGCGGCACAAGGGGAAGGGACGCCAAGGCGCCCACTCAGCAACGTACTTGTTCTTCTTGCCGTAGTCAGCCAAGATCAAGTCCTTCAGCTGCACTTCCACTTTGATCCACTCCTCGTCTGTCAAGGTAGGCCAGATGTGGTGAGGCTCTGTGATTGTAGTCTTGTCGGGCTTCAAGATGACTTTGGCTCGATCGTTGTTCACGTGCAAGGCCCGCAGGATGAGGATCAGGCGAGAGAAGGCCTGGAAGGAGAGAAAGCACGATTAGCGTAACATGCCCACCAGAAAGCTGCTTTTCTTTCAGAGGCACACGGCACCTCGAGCGTGCCCGGGCCTGCACAACAGCACCACGGGGAACCACAGGCGCTGTACCGTGTAGGAAGAAATGGTCTTCAACCAGTCGTCATAAAGGTTGAAGAGAACCATCTGCGGTTCTGTCGCCTTCAAGATGAGGTCCCCAAATTTCTCCACCTTCAGACAGGCCTGGAAGGGCAGCTGCAGCTCTGAGCCCTTGATCACAATGTTGGGGAAATCCAGCAAGTGCACCTGTAAGGAGAGCAAAGGCCGCGTGGGGGAGGGGGTGATTAGGCAACCCAATGGCCCAAGGCATCCTGCCTGTCGCTGACGGGAGCGCCAGGCTGTGGCCCTATGCTGTGCCTCCCGTCCTCCTAACACAGCAGTGACAGCTCAGGCTACAAGAGGCTTCCTCTCCTCTCTTCCGGCGTTGCATCCCCCCTCAGCCTACCTCCAAGGGGTCCAACATGCCCTTCCGGGTGACAATAATCTGCTTGGGCTGCTCCTCTACAGGCAGTGACCGGATCAGAGCCGCCACCTCCTCTGCAGTCTTCCACTTAGCCAACTGGAAAAGGAGGAAGCAACTGCAAGTTAATGAACAAGGCCTAGAAGGGGTCAAGGAGGCCTGCCTCCCCCCTCCAAGAGAACAGGTGGCCAGGGAGCTAGTCCAAACCTCACCTGACCCAAGCGCTTTTGTCCAGCCCACACAGAAGTATGGATGATCTTCAAGAAGAGCTGCCCAGTCCGAGGG